GTATAGCCTCTTCCCTCGATCCTTCTATTTTCTCGTGGGGGGGGGCCGTTGGTTCTGGGTCCTGTTTTGTCGCTGGCCTACTTACTGGGATTGTTGCTCTTTCTTTTTTCGGGGTGTCGTGGAGGGGAGGCTTCATAGGAAGCCCCCTTTTCCTATCCTTATTTATAGCCAGATCTATAATTTCTCTTGCCTCGTTATCACTTCATTCTTATTTTCGTGTTGGTCCTCATGCGAGATGCGGGCCCCTGGAGCCAAGGGTGGGATTGACTATTGTTCCTTCCATCACTCATAATCGGCCTAATTACGAAACGCTGAAGCTTCTTAATTTATTAAGATAGATCTATTCGGATTCTGAAGAGTGAGAGTAATTCTCGAACACCCTCTCATTGTGATCTACACGCAGAGTTCTTTTATTTTGCCTTGTTTCTCTGTATTCACTCCCTGTTATAAGACCTCTCGTAAGTTAACTACACTCATCCGGAATCCTTTGCCTTCTTATTATGTCATGTTGTGCTTAGTGCCCAGAAATTTTGCCTTCCAGATGACTTACACCATTATTTCTCCTCCGCTCAGCCGTTTGTCTCTTTTCTCTATAAATTTCTCATATATCCTTGCTTAGATTTCTCGCTTCCCTTCTGTCTGCGGGGGGTGCGGTGCTGATTCATCTGTAATCTTCTGTCAATCCGAGATCTATTACTGGTATACACTAAAGGCGACTGCCCTTTTATCTCTGGGTGAATACCCCTAATTTAGAGTTTCTCGGAATAATCTCATCTATTTAGTATATTTATCTGTACTCCCGGGTCATTTCATCCTCCGTCATCCCCCTACGGCAGACAGAGTGGCGTTGTATTCTCGTTTATTCATTCCTTCTTTTCGCGTGATTTGCATTTAGGGCGACGCTGTCTCTTCTGGGTAATAAACGGTCTCTCCCCAGGTGCACCATTTTGTCATTTAATCAAGTTTATACCTACTATTTCATCCGAGAAAACTTCTAATTCTGATTCCTGCCTCTTAGGTTCCTGATACTACAATTCCCTCCTTATCCTGGTGGGTTTGTCTTTCCTCTTCATTAGGGAATTGGTTCTGCCTCCCCCAGGTGGGTTCCGCTGTCATTAATTTCCCTCTAAGCATATCGGGGTGCTTCCGAAATCGTATCTTGTTGTTGTTTAAAGAGAGTTGCACGCCCTTCACCTCGCCTTGTGCGGGAACTAGGGTCTCTGCCTGGGGCCTCTTCGGCAGGATCTTCGTCTTGGACTGGTGTTCTCATCTATGTGCCTTGTATTATTCATTGGTTAGATTGGCTCTTCCCATCCCACTCATCCTTCGGCCTCTCTCACTCCTCTTCGCTCCATTCTTTAACACTGTTCAGGTGTATCCCGGGGGTATAATTTTCTGGATCTGCTGCTTTATGACTTTAATACTATTGCGATCCCCTTCTAGTGCCTGCCCGCCCCGCTATTTCACTCATACTACCTTCACTGGCTCTCCCAACCACCATAGAGGTTTCCTCTTTCGGTTCGAGGTTTGGATTGTGGTTGTTGACATCTGATTACTATTCTCTTTGCTTCTTTTAGATATACTTCTGCTTTGGAGATATTCCTCCCGCAACTTGTCCGGGTTGCTTCACTACTCCTCCACTGTCCAGGCTACCCCGGATATTCATCTTTACTTTGCTGAGGTTCGAGTGATTTGGCCTTTATCTGTCACCCCAATATATCTACTCACGTGCTTTCCTGCCTGGCCTAGATGCCACACTTAAGTTAATTCTAATCCTCGCCTCACTTACTCGACTCCAGGGAAGTTTCTAGGAATCCACTCTAGATATATATATCCGTCCCGAGTTACTGTGTTCGTTGATTTCTGCTCCTTCCTGTTCTCAGGGTTGTTTTGTTCATTGTTTGCCCGTATATCTTGCCCTTTTTCATAGGCAAACCTCGATAGCACTTCTTCATTTGTAACAGATAGCTGTCCTGATTTATTTGGTTTATGATTCTTTTTCTGAATGATGGGGGCCTCTTATTTCCTACTAACAGCGCAGTTCACCCTCGCCTGGTATCTGTTCCCAGGTGGCATGAACCTATCATGAGGCCCCACTACATTCTTTGTCCCTCCTGCTCTCTATTTCTGAATTGGAACAGCCTGACTTCCTGGCGTCGAAAGAATTGTTGGATTTGCCTTACCCTTCCGGTGTCAACGGAATGATTTCTTCCGATAGGGGGCATCGGGAGAACTTTTTAGGCCTACAGGTACGGCTCCTGTTGCCCAGGTTGCGTACTTTAGGTTTGTTACTCCACGGGGAGTTTAATCCTCCTTGGCGATTCCCTGTTGTCTCTGTTATTGGCTTATCTTTCTTAATGATACATTATATCGGGGCTAGATCCTGTAGGGGTTGCACCTGTTCGTTCACTTCAATAGGATGCTGTTCCTGACTCACAAATTCCTTATTGGACGTTTCCCTTTTTTTTTATTTTTTTTTTTCTCTTCTATTACACTCTCCGGTTATGACTACTCTTCTACGCTGTCCTGCAGTTTAGGCACACAGGGGATCAAAATGGAGGAGACATTGTTCTGTGCCTCCTTCATTTGTCAGGGCCGTTATTGGCTGATACTTATTACGCCTGGTAGTAGTTTCCTTTGCATATTAGGGACGGGGGGGTTGACTCTTTCTAATTGACTTCTATTTTTTCTTTATATCCCTCATTAGATACTTAGCGCTCTGCCTTCCTTCCCTTTCGGTTCTACTCATTTCCTGTATTTACCTGTGCTCTTATATTCTCAGGGGCTAGGTGTTAACCCCTCCTGGGCCTCGTTTTGCATTCAACATTAAATGTTCCTCAGTTTTCCCCCTGTTAGGGCGGAGGAGAGGGGGTCTGATATTTTATACGTACTTGGTGTTTTGGGGACATTTGTGGGGATTTCGGGAGTGTGGGGAGAGTGGTTGGCATGTCCTAGTGCCCATTGGCTTTAGTCTTTTAGGAATCCTTTGCCCCTTTCTTGTTCCTTGGGACTGTTTACATCTGTTTTGAGTTACTGATTACCTTCCCTAGGATTTTGGCTTTCAGGCAGGGGAGATTTTCAGTCTCCCATTTTCCTGGTAATCCTAAACTACTCCTTCCAGGGAACTGAATTTGGCTATTCTTACCTCTGGGAAGGTTAGGTAAGTAGGGGACAGGGGGGATCCTCCCGGGTATTTGGTTGTGATCCACAAGTGTTCTGTCTTAGAAGGTACCTGAGCTAGTCTTGTTCATCACCCCTGGGGAATCTCTGATTATTCCTTATCATGTATACTCATCGTGTTTCACTATTTTAGCATTTCTCCTTTTGAATTCTGGAAACTTCTCCCAGGGAATAATTATCTGCTCAGACTCTTTCCCACTCTTGTTTGATATAACTGGCGATGGAGGCTTTGCTCTCCTATCGTATTCTTGGGAGTTTTCCCTGGCACTGTTGCAGAGTTTCCTCTTGTCTGCTTTAGGACCCTTTATTGGATCCGTCTGCTGGCCTCTTTCCTGACCTGGAAGGTTTTCTCATCTCGACCATATCCTCTTAGTCTTTTCCGAACAAGTGTAAATCGTAATGGTGTTTATTCTGGCTGTTCCTCCTCCTTGCATCTAATCATCAACTGGTACTTTATCCCATGTTCCGGTGCCTTGAGAGTATCTCTGTCAGTTCCATTGGGTTACTGGGATTTGCTATTTTATAGATGCCTTCTTAATCTTTGAGGAGACTTGGGTTGAGTTCGGGGCTATCCATTCTGTTAGGGAAGCACTGTGTTGTCAATTTCTCTTCTTACTCTTCGATTTTTAGTTGCCCACTTTAGATATCGGTAATTACCCCACACTTGTCTGTTCTCCTTCGGCGAATATGATTCTATATACTTGGCCCCTTACATACTCTCTTATCCTTAGCTGATGCAGAAGCTCGAGTCGACAGGGAGATTTAATCCTCACTGCTCAGAAGGGCTGTTGGTGTGTCTCAGATTCCTTTTTACCTAATCCCGGGTTCTGTTCCGCCTCAGTTTGTTTCGGGGCCTAAATTTTTTTCGTTGGTCAATTATAGAGGGGAGCAGCTCCTATAGTTTCAGGTTTATTCCTGTTGCTTTCTTCGCTGCTGATTACCGGTTTTGTACTTGGTACCTTGTCAGGGGCTCGGATCATTTTATAGTCGACTCTTTCTTGCTCGCCTGCGGTGCCTCGTGGACCTACTTTTGGGCGTATTTATTTAATCAACTTCTCCCGCGAGATTGCTCCCTCTTTCTCCTAATCACTTCTTGTTGCCTTCTTCTATTTTTTACTGGTTGCGCCGGTTCTATTGCTTTGGCTTGTTCCTTCTATTTCTTTGTGATGCCGCCTATCCTTTGCTCCTGCTGTTGTTTCTATCATCCAAATTATTCCTCCTCTATCACTTTTCTTCGCTGGCAGTCAATAATTCACTTGTCCGGGCATCGCTCAATTCCGGGGCACCGCTCTTTTCTACTCCTGGGGCCTGTGGGCCTCATATGTTAGGTTCCTATTGTTTTGGTTTTAATTAAATCATTTCTTTTTGGTTGCTCATTAATACTTCTGGGGAGGCAGTTTCTTGATTTTCTTCTGTCTTATCCTTATTTTCTTCCCCACTGATCTCGTTAGTTTGCTGGTGTAGACTTGTACGGACGTGGAGAGGCTGGATTCTTTCCTATCTTTAACTCTCCCTAAATGATTTTTCCCTGGGTCATAGAGGGTTTATTCAATTTCGGCCCCTTTGTCACTTGGGTCCTGGTTTTTTGAGGCAGGGAAGCTTCTTAGGCTTCTTTTCTGCCCATATATCCTTTTTGGTTTCGGTAGGTTTACTGTATGCCCTCCCGCATTGGGGGTTTCTGTTTTTCTTAGACTCCAGGAGCCAATCTTCTTTGCTATTCCTTTAATGTTTCTTTCGCACCCCACAGTCTCTTTGGGGTTTTCTCATAGAAATGCCATGACTTCTGTTTCGGTCATTCTTTTCTCTCTTCTCCTTGCTGCTTCCCCGCTCTTCATATTTTCTTCCGCATCTGTCCCTTAGAACAATGTTTTCACCAGGTATGCTCCTCTTTCCTGGGGTTCCTTACGATTATGCCCCTACATTGTCTTTTTGCCTCCTCAGTTTACTCCTTTTTGCCTGTATCCTGGGACTATGGCCCCCTTCCAGTGCCCTAGTCGGGTTGCTGTTATCCGGCCGGGATCTGTCAGATCACAGGAATTTTGCCCTTGGAATTCCTGCCTCGAAATATTTTCTTTACCATTGCCCCCAGTTGTTGGCTCCTTATATATATTTTCAGATCATATCATAATGTCCACCTCGCCAGTTGCTATTTTTCTTCTGCTAAAGTGGCTGCTGTGTATTCTCTCTTACCCTGTTCTCTTTGTCGCTATATCCTATAGATACTCTTTATATTGCTCAGTACGTGTGGTTTAGTTGTCTCTCCTATATTTAATTATTTCGTGCTGCCTCATACGTCCCCTGTTTCTCTCGCCTCCACTGTCGGCGCCCATTTATACTACTTCTTACTGTGGGTCATAGCTGCGGTCTCTTCCCCTTCCTTGTTTCATCTTCTTATTTCCCTAATAATATATATTCTTAATCATGTCCTCCCAGCCTTGTTGCCTGCGATCTTTCCGATTTTTGTTACGCCCACTTCCCTACAGGTCCTGAATTCGTAGAATTAACCCGGCTTGATTCATTCGTAGTTGTCCCCTTTCTGGCTCGTGGATAGCCCTTTCATCTGTTTTGGTGTGGCAAGTCATAATATCGTAACTTATCCTTCTCACAGCCATTATCCCTGTAGATTGAGATTGATGGGAAATTCTGGCATTTCTGGTCCAGGTCTCCTGCGTGTTGCCTCCTGCCTTCTTTGTAGCTCCTTCTATCATCCTGGGGGACCTCTGTCTCTAGTAACTATTGTAGACACATTATGCCAAATATTCTCCCCTGACCCCTCTTGTCATACATCTTGTTCTCTTATACGCTTCTTTAAATCTGCTGCAGACTCCATATTCTCCCTCTGCAGCCAGTTGTGGATGCTTACTGCGGGTCCCGGGTTTTTATTGAATCATCCTTGTCCTGTTTTACATTATGCGCCACCGCCCAGGTGTTTTTAGCGGTTAATCTATTTTTCTATCCTGCAACTCTTTTACTTCTGGTTGCTTTTTTCCCCTTCCTTTTGGTGTGTCCTGGTATTCTTCGACTGTTCTCTATAATATACACTAGGTGTTATCAGTAAATTTGTAAGCATCACCTGACCCTTTCCTGCCATTTTATATTCTTTGGCTCCCTGACTGCTTAGCAGGTGATTATATCTCTCTGTATATCATCCTCCAGCAGATTCTTTATACCAAAGAAAATATCATATAAGCCAAAATATCTCGGATCCAGCTAGTTCTAGATCCATTCTTCTGCTGTGTTGGGGTTAAAATTATATTATGATAAAGTATTAAAACATAAAGCGTTCCTCCTTTATTCAGATGATCCTCACAACAACTCACCAATATTTCGAAAATTCCCGTTATTTAATCACGTGGAATAACACACAATAGGTTCATAAAACTATTTGACTTATTATTAAGGGAAGGAACTTTCCTATTATTGTTTATATTCCCATATAGCATTACACTTAGAACTCATATAAAAACCATATCACTGGCAAAATTATCATGCATTTATTCTCTTTTTCTCATTTCTCAGAAGAATCTCATAGCTCTATGGTGGTGTAGGATTCCTTCATAGGACATTTGCTTATTTTAATAGGGCAATTTATGCATTTTATAGGGTTATACTTTCTTAAGCATAAAAGGGGTTAGGAATACCACTTAAAATTCTACATCCTCCTGTTGTGAATAAGGAGACGCCCGTTATAGCATCCTCTATAGTGTTAGATACCGACAAAATTGAAGTTATTGTACGACTTATTATACTCCATGAACTCAGCACAGATTCAAGATATTATCTTCCCTTATTTCTCTGTTTATATGTTAGAAAACATGAAACCCTCGATTTCATATATCTATTTTGTCAGAGGGAAAGACCTGCTGCTCATATTATTCCTTATTTGTGACCCCTATTGTGTTTCTGGGTTCTATGCTTTGGGTTTAGTGTATAATCTTCATTCCCTGAGCATCTTCCCCCGTATCCTCTCCTCTCGTGCTGTCTCCCCTTTATGTATTAATTATGTACCTTTCCTTTTAGGCATTTCCACTTTGATCGTCATGTTGATATGTCCACTGGCCTTTGGTCTATTTATATGGTGTTACATATATCTCTCTCCGTTCTCTGAAGTAGATAATTCTCTCAAATATGTCAGTTATATCCTTATATACATTCTATTATAGTCATCCGCTCCTATATGGTTGCTCCCCCCCTTTCAGATTAATGATTCTTTAATACCTTATGTGTATTCTTATTCTTAGGCTCATTTTATCCCCTCCCCTTTTTTTATTTTATTATTATTCCTATTTCTTTTTTCCTCTATATCGTAGTATTCCTTTCAGAATTTCCTACTCCTCCCTAGAGTATCAGAAGTCTAATCTTTCATTTTACATAATTGTTATATTTTAATAGTACCCCTTTGACTTTGAGTCTTGTTAAGAGGAAAATACTACAGATTAAAGCAGGTGTGCAAATGTTTCGTAATCATTGTTTCTTAATAGTACCCGGATAATTATTGAATCTATATTACAATAATATTGAGAAGGAATAATCACAATTCACGACGTATTACTGTACTTACAATGTTACTTTGCCTATAAAAAGTTCTTCCTATATATAAGCACGCTCGGTATGTTGAAACCCCTTTTAGTGATAGTATCCCTCGGTTTCCTATACAGCATGAATAGACTCAGGATTTGTATATGAGTCTTCCTGGAATGGAATTATTTTACAAGCCACTGTATTGGTGAGATGATATGATCTTTACAACTGCTGTCCGCCTCATCGAATTCCACTCTCTAAACCTTTGTATTATCTTAAAGAATCTTCCTCTTCAAACAGCACTGTTCTACATAGAATATTACCCTTGACAGAGTCTTATCCTCTAAACAGTTGTTGTAATGCCGCTTCTTTCAGTTAATACAAATATACCGGAGGCATCTCGTATTTTCTATATATGTGTAACGCTTAGTGATTGGAACTCCTCCAAGAATATCGGTGAATCCACTCTATTATCTCTTACGAAATATCTCTTTTTAAATTATGCTGCCTCCTGCTTTAAATCTTGACGACTCCATAATAGGGACTCTCGGGAATCTCCTACTGTTTATGCAGGGATACTTTAGAGAGATGTCTCCCTCTCACATACTTAATAATGGTGGCGAAAAATGTATTCCTTATAAATTAGTTTATCAAGGGAGTGTATATCCTCCGCCTCATTCTATTCTTCAAATAATAGCACCCGTTGGCCTAACTAGTCCATATAAAGGTACTCCAGTCATAGTCATAGAACCCCCACGATTATTTTCCTGATATCATGGTTCCCCATCGAGATGTGTTTTCTTCAGCCAATAATAGTCTCCAAATAAAAAAAACTGTAAAATATGAACCTGGTG